TTCTAAAAAGAAGCTACAATTTTAAGGTGAGTTGCCAAAAGCCTGTTCTTAGATCCAGGAGTGATAAACATCTTTGCATTAAAAGATACATCGATTCTATAACTTCTCTACATTCTTATTGATATTGTAGTGATACCTGTCTACAAAATTATCCACAGTCAATACAAAATCTATAAGCTACACCAGGCTTATCAATAATCACTATTGGTCACACAAAATTCATTAAATTTTTACTGATTAATGGACAGCTGGGACTCGTCACTTAGAATATAAGCGTATTTCACTTTCTATAATGCTTTCTCATTTATGATTGATATACTTCCTCAAATGAAAAGTTAGCTGCTAACAATATTTTGCCAATATGTTATTAAGATTCTGGGTTTCGAATTGGAAGTAATTGTTTTTTTATTTTTATACCTGCATTTGTGACTTCCAGGTTTTGAGCAATATTTGGTTCCGTCTAGCTGCCTGTGTTTTCTCCCACTGAGATTTTAATCTTTCTAGTTCCTCTATATTGTGTGACAGTTGTCGAACGAAACGAATACGTCGTAGATATTTAACAATGATAGGTATGATTGACAGGTGATGACAGTATATTGTCATAAAGAAACACATGGTAGGGAATTTTGGTTCTTGCCATGGAGGAGGCGTCTGTTCTTCTGAAAAAATAAAAATATTTAATATATTGATTTAAGATTCTATTAAGATTGATCTAAGACCAGCCCCCTGGCTATGACCCTCAGTTTCAAATTTCTTATTATTGGGTTCTTACATGCCTATTGCTGTTTGTCGGACTTGAAAATTCTGTGGCCCTTCCATATAACAATCTCTAGAAACAATACCAGAGCAGTCATTACTACTATTTTTGCAATCTGATTTACAGATAAAGAACTCAGATAAGCACTTTAGAGGAAGAATCAGGTGGCAAATTAGAAAATTTTCCTTCTTGTAACTTTTTATTTCATTTTGTTAGAATTTTCTTTTTTGTTTTTGTTGATTGTATTATAAATAGCTTCTAGTTCCTTTACATTTAATTATCAAAATCAATAATATCATTATCTGTCTGCATTGACAGTGTGAACTTACTGAGGGAGTTTTTCCATGAGCTCAGATCTTCTGTGGAGCAGTTAAAACAGGTTTCTGTGGAGAAATCCATTAAACTGTTGGGATGGAATGGATAAAATGTGTCGACCTAAAAATAAAAAATTAAATATAGAACAACTTAATCATAAATAAATATTATAAATAACGTCTCTGTTTCAATACGGTAATCATCTCTCTCAGGTTTCATTGCTTTAAAACAATTTACACACACCTTAAGCAGATGAAAATATCTAATTGTATCTGAAATATGACCATTCAACACAGCTTTTAAGATTCTTTTAATGATTATCAAACATAATATCATTAGACAAATCTATTACTAAAAAAAGACAATAATTTATTTACTAACCTTATTGATGACTATTTTAAAAGATAATTTTTGTAATATGGAGAGAAGATTTAACATGAAACCATCACCAGCTACCAGTTTCTCATCAACCTACAAGGCCAATATAATAGAATATTAGTTTGCTGTTATTTTATCCATTCTAAGAATTCCTTTGCTAATTAGTATGAAGATCTTGAATTATTATAAGCTATGAGTAGTATAAGTAAGGCTTCCGTACGATTCCAGATATTTTAAAGTTATCAGTATCCATGATACACAGAGTTGTCAGAAAACCTCTTCACAATCCTTTTCAATACCAACTTAAAAACTTTTAAACATATCAAACTCATTGAGGTTGGTGAACTAATCACTGGGTGAGTGGCTAATGTATCTTGAATCTAGCAGATTACAAAAAATGGCACTACTTCTCTTTTGAGGATTCCACTAATATACTACCTTTACTTCCGTTTTTGTCATTCTTTAGACGAGATTTTTGAATGACAGAATTGTCTTGCTTGTACAAATTTCTATATAATAAAAAGAAACACTGAAGATCACAGAATATAAAAATGACTTGATGAAATAAGAGTTATAAATACCTGTAACTGAGATCGAGTAGAGTTTCTCTGTAAAGCTGAAGCCAAGTATTGTAAAGCTGAATCTCTCGTATCAATATTCACCAACATAGCATGTATTATTTTATGTAGTTCTGTCTATAATAATCAAAAGAGAGAAAAATATAAATTGAAAGGATCAATGACAGTGTATAGTATGAGGAATCTTGTTTTTTGCAGACTATACCCTGAAAGGAACAGGCAACAATCATGATCCATGTAATATTGACTAACATACCCTGAATTATTTTCTGTAGTTCTGTCTATAATATTCAAATAAGTTTAGAATCATATCTTAGAATAACAAAAATACCCTCCAAGATTAACTTTTAGAAACATCAGCAGAACTATAAAATGTTCATTTTGATTAAATGTTAAAAAGGTCAGATATCAACAGATAATCATTTTATTATTTATAAAGTCCTACAATTGTACCTTGTTTGGGGCTTGACAGACAAATTGACAATTGGCACTGACAGAGAATCTTTAAAGTGTGAAGCCAAGATAATCAGAATTCTCAGAGTAGAGCTAGAATAATACATGGAATAAAAGGTATGTGTTTGACGTTATTCAGTCTTAATATTGAGATACATTTAAATATCTACTTACTCTAGCGTACTCCAGTTTATGTCGTAATGATTGATAAGCTACGTTCAGTGTGTCTGCTCGTAACATCTGGGGTGGACCAGCAAAAAACTTCTCTACTACCTTAATCTACAAGTATTATAATACAACTTTCATTATTGATTTGGATTACAAATATAAAATGTCCAAGGCCTTATTCTTGAAAAACTATAAAAAAAAATCCTGATTTTAAGAAATACAGTAATCTGATTGGATAATAAAACTCAATTTTAAATAAAATTTTTAATTAGATGACTGCTACACTAAATTCGTCTAAAGTCTGAAACTTGAAACATAGAGATAATTTGGTTTAACTTACATTATCTTCAGCAAATACTGAAAGAGCCAGGAACGGGCCGAGGAATGACAATTTCTCTACTTCTAACCCAGTTGCTTTAGATACCGGAGCATAGTTCCAATTACTCTGTTGTGTTATCTGAAAAAAAAAACAAGAATAATTACAAGATTAAGGGTTGAAAATGTACCATCACTATGAAAGGGGTGGTAAACAGAGTTTTAATCAACTCAGATGCTGAAGAATTGGGAGTCATTTTGTGTATATCACATATTCTTCTACAGATGTGTAAAATAACTAGATTAATCAAAAGAAGCAGTAATCACCTATGAGAATCAAATGACCAGGTTTATACCAATCTAATTTCATAATAAAATATTACAATCAATTTCCATTCAAGTATGGTATATATTAATATAAAATTAACCTAAAGAATTTTAGACAAATGGGAACCAGAAGTCCAAAATTATTTAAAATTCTACCTAGAGAATACTTACCAATTTACAAATAGGCCTGGAATTGCCTGATTTGATCTCACATAATTCTGCCAGGATAGCCAGGGGTTCTCGATAATCATCAGTATCTAAATAAACAGTCTGCATCATACGGTGTAATGACTGTAGTAATGGACTAAATACCTAGAAAAATAAAATATATCAAATTTGAATAATAGAATTGTATGGATATTTGAGAAGCACTTTTATGCATCAGAAAGGAATACTGAAATCTGATGTCCTGCAGTGTGCAATGATGAAATTCTGCATCAGGCGTCATCATACTATCATATTATTCAATTTGAATAGTGAAAGAATAATTAATGTGTATTTTCTAGACTCTCAACATGAACACCTGTTGCCAGCATAAAATTTACAGGTATGAGTGTTAAAAAAATAATTTGATACAATATTCTAGACTCTAAATTGTCATATATTGCCATTTTTCATTGTTAACATGTGAGAAATCCACATAAACTGTTGGTTTTGAATGAAATACAAAAACTTATATATCGAACAAAAAATTAAAGGGGAGTTGAATTTAGTCTTGAATATATGTTAATAGTCTTCAGAAGTACTAGAAATGTACAAAAATCACATAATACTTCAAACTAGGAATTTTACTGACTATTTCTATAGATGTCTTTTCTATATATCATAGAGTATCTTAAAATGACGAGTCAAATTTGGACGGTGAGCTGTGAATTACAAAAATTTGGATTTATAACAAAAAATTAGGAATTACAAAAATTAAGATACTACAAAACTTAGATATTCTATTTGTACTTACCCTAGAGAAGCCTTCTCCCTCGACACAGACAGTTTGAACGAGTTCTGGTAGGAATCCACGAGGTAGGTTGTGAGACATTAAATATGGCAGGAGATGTGATGTTCCAATAATTTGAGATCTGAAATAAAATAGATATTCATCAAATTAATATTTTACAGAAACAAAGATAAACAACCTTTTTGATACAAGAGAAGTTATCCATATTCATAAAAAATATTCATTCATATAATTTACAAAACAAACCGTTTGTCAAAGCCTGTTGATTGGTTGGTTTGAAAATCATGTGACATTATAAATAGTTTTAAGCTCAGTATATGAATTTTACCTACTCACAGACCTAAAAATTCATGCAAATCTCTGAATCCTATTCTCGCCAAGACTTCCATAAACACTGGCTGTCAGAGTCATGTTGGATTCACGCAATATCATTCAAAACCTGTTGATTGTTTTGTTTAGAGTCATGTGACATCAGAAACATTTATTATCTCAGTCCCTAACATAAGGTGTACCTGATAAAGTGAAACAAGGTAGAATCATGTCATAGGTGGCATCTTGTTGAAGAGATAATGCAGATTACTAAACTTATAAAATGTGAAACTGATCACTACATAATGAGTTATATTATATTTATAATTGAAGTGTAAAATAAGAATAACTACCTACCTTTGTTCAGTAAAAGTACCTTGTAATACTAATGATGTTAGTAGAATACACTGATTTCTAGCTATAGATAACACTTCACTCATTGGTGGTATACTAGTTCTCTGTTAACATAAAATATCATAGTGATAATATACAACTAATACAGACCTGAGACCTTCTCATTGAAAAGATTTTAAATATTCCAGTCATTGTTTTGGTCTATCATGAAATCAATTTTAAAATCTAATTCTTATTATCCAGTCAATTCAATAAAATTGGTTGTATTTTATGTTAGTTGAGAGATTAAGGCCAATGATGTTAGTTCTAAGTTTCTGTATTTGTACATGTGTCAAATTGTCAATAGACCAAATTTTTCTCGTTCCTTGCAAGATAAAATATCTTAGCTAAATGCCATTCAAAGACTTTATTTGTCATCAATATGGAGATGTGGCAAAAACCAACTCATAAACAAGCTTGAAATAAGTGAGAGTAAACTAATTCAAACATGTATGTATATAGTTTGCGCATCAATTCTTCTCATTATGTGCCTGAGGACGACGGGGGAAACATGTCGAAACGTTGCATTAAACTTTAACCAGTGATGGTTTTTCCACTTCTTATGATTGTCTCCAGCCAAGGTCCAAAGAAATATTTGTCATTTGTATATCTCTTGTTTACAGTATAACTAAACTCTTGTTACTAGACTAACTCCTATCTTAAGATTTTTTGAGGAACGCCACCTTGATAAAAGTTTATAAATCATTGATGGTACCTTAGGAGCTGTACGTTCTTCTATACTGACACGTTCATACGAATCTAATAAATAATTAATCATATCTACTTCTTTACATACTAATGGCTCACATCGGGATATAAACTCTCGTTTCGGTACGTCGGGGGTCAGCTGCATTGGACTTATACTAAAATACAAGAAAATTAGAAATAAAGATTCTCTCACAGTATTCCAATTAGCATTTTTAAATTGACTATTTCTCCCTTCTCTAGCCCAAACAGGTGCAGAAGAGTAGGATCAAAATTTAACTTAAATTCCTATAATTTCTGTAGATAACCATTGACAAAAAAACTAATGTATTGAATTCACACAGTAAACAACAGAATAGTTCTGTTTCTGGCGAACAAGGACATGACAGGGGGTATCTGAAAACCTTTCAGCCCTGGTTCTTCATTTTGTTATCACGGCAAGCAAAATCAACATGGAAAGTAGAGAGTCAAAAAGGTTGGGTACCAAGGATATACCCTGTTTTATGAATTGAAGTTTGACAATCATTTCCAGATCAATTGAAACATCAACCACAAAATACTACTGAGAGTCTTAGATTGTTTGTGGGTCGATAAAAATGTCAACCACTGAAAAAGTTATCATTTTTAAACATGATTTTACAGAGGGGAATTTTCGGTCCTAAAAGCAGGGTCATTTTCATGTGAATTTTATAGGAGGGAAGTGTGTCTATTTCAATTGGCATACCTTAAAATTTTAATTTAAATATTTATGAAACAAGAGAAGAATTTCAATTCAAAGCTCAATGTAGTCAGAGAGTAATCACTTACCTTCTGGGGCTACCACTGTAGTTTTTCATCGGTGACACGACCGGGGTCACAGGTCGTAAGGTCAACAAGGGATTTTCAGAACCATCTTGTATCTTCATTAAAACTTCCATCAATATCTGGTTTATAACATTTCGGAAATTGACACATCCTAGAATAGGTAAGAAAACATAGCTAGAAAAACTGCCAAATTACAGGTAATAAGGATGGTCCTCAAAATAACTACTGTAGAAATAGCACCTAACAAAAAGGATATGATTTTTTTCAGTTATATGCAGGAGAAACAGGCTCCAAATTTCTGAATCTCTCGAACCTCACACAAGAAATGATAATGGTGAATACACAGTAAAAATAACTGTGATTGGTTAATGTCATTGAGATAGTAATATTGACCAATCATATTGCATGTCTATATCGTCAAAAAAATCATAACTTTGTGATAAGTTGAATCATTGGTAAATATGCGACAACTGTTGGTTCTACCACTGTTTGTCAGGGTACAGCTTCTCCTCTTCTCAACCTACATGGGAATTCTATTCTTGAAACACCCTAACACTACCAAATGAAAGTATTTGAGTTAAGACAATACCTTGTTGTTGTTGGATACAGGATGAGATGTCTGGAAGATGTAACGTATCACTGGTAGACTCTTCTTTCCAGGACACCACGAATATACGACTCACAGCATTCAACATCTGGTCTTCGGTTGCTTCTGATCCATAACTAGTATCCTGGATACAACATAACAAAAACCTTTAAATAAATGTCTAACAACAGCTTAGAACTTGCCATTATTAAAAATAGCCTAGTGCTGCCGTCTTTACAAAATTTCCCTCATTGTACACTGCATGACGTTACTTGACCTCGCCCAATCAGGTGCAAAAAAAGCTAGACATATAACTCCATTTTATATCTTTTCATATGGAAGGAGGATCAAAAAATGAACGAACCCTGTGACGTTTTGCTTCAGGTCTTGAATCACTCTCCTCTGTTTCCATGTTTTCTATTCCTGAATCTACGTCCATCTGACTTGGCTGACTACTGAAACAGGAATATATTTCTACATTTAGAAGAGCCATATTTTTCCAGTTGCTAATAATCTGAAACTGCGATATCAGCACAAATTTTACTGGAAATGGAATATTTACTATGCAAAATTAATCTGTTAACCAGTTTCCGGTTTGCTTAAAGTTACCAATCAAACAGACTTTAAGTTGGCATCTCTGTTTCAATACCAAGTGTCTTCAAAATCAGAAATTAAATTAGCTTATATTGTGCTGACAACAGGGCTCAACCTCTCAGGTTTCTTTCAATTCAGGATTTACAGGAACAGGCAAAAAGTCATCATTTGAACTTGAAAATCAATCCGACTGTCATTCAAATGGAAAAAAAAGTTGTATAGTTGTGGACTCCTCCAAATAATAGTACCATCAGGTGTTTCTAAAAAAAATGGTCTTTACAGTATATTTTCAAAACTCTCTGACCTTTTCTCCATACATTCGGAATCTAATTCCATAGTTTGACTAGAAGATTGAGGTTGTGATTCCATGACGACTGTATCTAAGCTAGAACTAGGTCCATCTGTTTCCATACTGGACGTCTGGGACTCGATTTCTAAACTACCTAGAGAAAACAAATACACAGAATTGATGAAATGAAATCTTACATGGCATGGGAAGAAGTTTTCTATATTTTTTATGTGTAAGCTTATTGGGAACACCATCAAAGTAAAATAAACACCTTATTGTAGAGAAATATATCTTCCATGTATTCAATCATATGTCTGTGGTTCTTGCAATTCCACTAAAACATAGCGTTTTATGACATCACTATTTCTAAAGCTGCCAATGCCTTGCAGTTTAGTAATAGAGAAATCTATAAGAATTGTGCCATTTTACCACTTTTATTTAAAGAGGGTTATAGTCAACTTATTTATATTAATATAAAAATATTATTTTGATACCAATTTGACTTTTACAATGAACCATTTTGACTTTTTCCAAGGGAAATTTTGACCTTTTTGAGAGTGCCATTTCGACCAAATTTAGGGACATTTTGGTTTGGTGCCAAGCTGACTATATAACCCTTTTAGGGAGTTCACTGTATTTTAATTTTTAGTTAACAAATCCACCCTTATTAAATTTTATCCGTTTTATCCCATTGAGTAAATATTAGATATTTGAGCCAACTTACTTGGTGGATTTCGAGATGAAAGAGGAGTAGTAGGGGGTCCAGTGGAAGGACCAGCAGTGGATGAGCTTGCATCATTATTACCAGAACTCTGTGGAGTTGAGGGCTGGCTCCCACCGCCTAAACGAGCCAACCTTCTTCTCCGAATCTAAAAATAAAAATAAATATCCAAGGTAAGTTGTACACAGATATCTGTACATAGGAATATTAGGTTAAGCAATGTTACGAAAGCACAGGCACAGGCATGTAGGCGTAACCTCTAGTGATAGAGCAATGTATGTGAAGTTAGTTTAAAAGAGTTTAGAGATTTGAAAGTGAAACATGAGTGTCAAGGAATTAACACACTAAATATATTTAATGCCAGTAAACACTGTGTGCATGTATTAGTCAATTAATAACCAGCCTGTTAATAGTTAATTCAGGCTCTTTATGTACAAGGTATTTGCACGTTTGTGTTTTAATTGAATTTTACTGATGTCTCTTTATCTTCTTACACAAAATATTTCCTTAAGATTATTTGAAAAAAATTCACATAAAATCTGATCATTAAAATTCAACACAAAGTGAGTTGTTCCATCATTTTTGAAAGGATCTCCAACTCCAATGGGACATGAACTCTAATTATTTATGACCCAGAGCCATCATTGTATGCTGTAATTACCATCAGCTGTTACTCATTAACCTAGATACAACTACAAGGCAACCCAGTACCAGACTTCAGCATTTATTAATGTTCCATTGAGAAAAGGTAAAGAATTTGGCAAAGAAAAAAGCAATAACAAAACCTTTCTTAGACGAATCTAAGATTAGTTTAATTTATACTTGTGGGATATACGATAAAAAATATACGCAAAACAGATGATATCATCGACATCATTGTTTGGCCCAACCAAGTTGTTGACATTTTTCAACCCAAAATTTCATTTGAAAACCATCATTTTCTACCTCATCAGGAGTGAGCTCACTCATTCTGTTGTATCAAATATCTTCTGATGTATTTCTCGATTCTTCTCTGTTAAATCTATCTGATCTGAACTTAACGAAAATGAACTAGGAGATTATAATCCCTGTTAAGCAGAAAAAACGAAATTTGCTGTGATCATTGTGATGCTGTGACGTCAAAGCTAAATATTACCGGAAGTTTAGAGAGTTAGTTCCCTTTAATTATGACAGCACAAAAATAATCCACAGGTAAACGATGTGTTACTTTTCATTTAATTTCTCTATTTTTATAGATTTTTTCAATAGGTTTGTATTTCTAATATATTCGATTAATGCGTATAGTATTCGTCAGACCAGTTTTGCAAGATATCACTTTTTGCTTCTTCAAGGTGTTTCTAAACTTGTTGGCCAAGTAGCCACGTTGTCAAATTCACAAGTCAAGTCAAGTACTCAAGTGGGAATTTCAATAAGGTGCACCGGTTAGGTGAGCAGGACCTCGATAGTTGATATAGCAAGATATTACAATTATTATAATGATTTAGGTCCATAAGTTGAATGTTATCTAGAGATTGTACATGCAATATTTTGAATATATCATGGAGACAGTGATTATAGGGATCAGAATACCATACTGACAAAGAACTGAGTGATTGATAACTATGTAGGCCAGTAGGCCTATGATGTGAACTGAACAAATGTCTCTGTTAAATTTGACTTTAACACTGTAATAGGCTTTGTTTGGCATGGTGTCTCTCCATATAGTTTATTGTCTGTTATACCTCATGGATCAAACTCCGAGATTTGAGTATTTGAATTATTTTAGAAATATGAGATTTATCTGTTCAATAATTTACGCCTCAGTTAAGTTTTTAATTTTTTTACCTGATTATCTGAAACTTCACACGTTAAAATCAAAATTAAACATATGACCAAAATGTACCAGAATGAATTGATTATAATTATTGTTAGATTGCAGTATTGTAGGTTTTGTGTCAATATTCTACATAGGCTACTGTAGTTCTGTAACTAATTCATCAAGTGAGCTCTATTTTTGCAGGGAAGAACCTGTATTATTTCAGAAATTCTTTTTTTCTCTTTCCAGATATGAAGTGAAATATTATTAGAGTGAAATTAAAAATCAATTATAAACTTTAAAATAAAATGAGTGAAAATGAAAGCCATGAAAGAAATACAACCAAGAGTGATCTTTCCTTAATGCAGACGACGTCGCCAGAGAAAATTAACCAATCAAAGTCGAACATGCCACCAGGACGATTACGTCATATCAGCCATCGAGATGATGAGCCGGAGAAACTTGGCCTGCTCAATGTCCGAGCTATGTCCTTCCTCATCTTGTGGTACATCTTCAGTGCATTTACTCTATTCCTAAATAAATATATTTTATCAACTTTGAAGGGTGATCCTTCATTTTTAGGTAAGTAAAATGTACTTTTATATTTCAAAGTTTCAAGTTTTATATTCTATCATTTTCAAATGATCTTATTTCTAGGTCGTTGGAACATTAATAATTAATGAAATGACACGAAAGCTCAATGGTTTTACTATGTATGTCCTTGGCAAGAAAAATCAATTTTAGCGGAAATTGAAATTTCACACGTTAAGATTTTGTTTAATATTTCAGGTGCTATGCAGATGGTGATGACAACAATATTTGGTTTTATTCAGATGTATTTACCACTAGGCATGTATACTCCTATAGATAGGGAGGGTAAACCACCTCACTTCTGGAGAAACATGGTATTAGTTGGTACTATGAGGTACGCTTGCTGTAATATTTGCATTGTTCAAAGAATTTCTAGCTTTATTATCTGTATCTAGGTCATTTATGAATGGCTGAGTTTCTGGCACTTTTAAAATTCAGGGATTGAGGCCTTAAAGGGGCGTTCTGTTCCTTGCTAAAAGTTTTGAAAACCATATATACCAAAATTATAAAGCCGAACACCAAAACTAGGTCAAACTGCTTAATTAACAATTAGTACTCTCAGTTTCTAATTAACCCTTTTAAAACAAATTCAGTTTAATCAAGAAGATACATAGATATAAATAGCATACTGACATTTTTAACAATAAAATTTTTGCAAACTGTCTTTAAGGACTTTCAGGGCTTTCTGGCTTCACACTTGTTGTTTGTGTCTTGACTCTTGTGTTGGATGATATTGAGTCAGTACAGAGAGCAGAACTATAAAATATAAAAGTGTGAGACATAGATGTGCAAAGTGCGAGTTATCAGCCTTTTCATCTCCCTTTTGTCCTGATAAGGATTGTGTATCCAAAACGTTTTGCTGCAGGTTGAGATTGTATTTTATTTTATAACAGGTTTGGTACAGTAGTGTTGGGACTGGTAGCCTTAAAATTTGTAGCTGTATCATTCACAGAAACAGTAAAAAGTTCAGCTCCTTTATTTACTGTGTTTATATCACAAGTTTTAATAGGAGAATACACAGGACCATATACATTCCTCTCTCTCATACCAGTTATGTTGGGACTAGCTCTATGTTCGGCTTATGAACTTAGTTTTAATATTCAAGGTTTTATAGCAGCTCTCGCCACCAATTTAACAGAATGGTAAGTTTTGAAGTTGGGGGAAAAAGGGGAAAACCTTGGGGGACGGAATTTGGCAGTTTTAGCCACAAACTTAACAGAATGGTGAGTTATTACATAGAAATTGTGGCCCTAGAGTTATAGGCTAGTATAATAATCGACATAAAAAGAGGAGGGGGTGGGGAGAATGGAAGAGAAAGCCAAGGGCAGCCTAAGCCATCAATATAACAGAATGGTAAGTTATATTGATACAAATCCCTGTCCCTAAGAAAGAAAAGGAGGGCCAAGGGACTACATGCAAAAAATGAGGGAGGGGGAGAGCTATAATATTAATTTCTGATTTTCGTACCTAATTCACTCTGAGAAATCTGATTGGTCAATAATATCACTGTAATAAAATCAACCAATCAATGTTCTGGTACTGTTCGACCACCCCAAAGTTATGAATATTCCGAGCACATCCTGATCTTATTGGTCAATGATATCACTGTCGTAAAATCAAACAATGAGTGTTCCTCATATTGTATGTTGACGATTATTTTAAGGTTACAATGATGTTAAACCCCGTTGATATCTTGTCAGTTGATATCTTGTCAGTTGATATCTTGTCAGTTGATATCTTGTCAGTTGATATCTTGATGTTTTTTTTTCAGTTTACAGAATGTTTATAGTAAATTATTAATTAGTGGAGAAAAATATAAATATACGTAAGTTATTTTCTGAACACTGCCCACTTCTTAAACACAAAATTTTCATTCAGTACAATCTCACTATTATAACTAAAAAACATAAACAATGTTTTACACGTGTCATCATCAGATGATATTTTATAACATGTTGAAATGTTATGTATTTTGTTATCAAAGAAGTGCGTTATACTATAATACATTCCCTCATGTTTTGTTCTATGTGCTCACGGCTTCTAAATGCCAATCAGATCTAATTTCACTATTACGCAAAGTGGATTGGTCATATTTGTGGTTTCAATCAGACCAGGATTAGCACCAATAACCTTGAGTAATAATACAACTATAGATTTAATTGATCTGATATAAATAAACAAGTTACTATGTACGTACCGTAACATACTGGGCAATGAGTACTAAATGAACCCTTAAAGAGACATTCTACGGAGACCCTAAGGCGCAATTTTCGGTACTCTTATAAAATATTTCGTTTTAACGAAATAATTAATTATTGTTATCAATTAAAACCTAGAAAACGTTGGAGAAATATTTCTCTTTTATTTTACAAAAATCCAGTTTTTACAGCTTCCAAAAAGCATAACGAATTTTAAAAGTTTAAGTAAACTTACATAATTTGACATGGCTTTAAAAAAATTAACAGCTGGATTTTTTTAGTTAAGACTTTAAAGGCCATATTTCTCTATATTTTTTTGTGTGTAGTTTTACACAGATTTGAGCTAAAAAAAAAATTCCGACCTACAAAAAAAGTGGAATGTCCCTTTAAAATTGAAAGAATAAATATATTACTAGTAGTCCTAAAATCAATTTAATCAGCACTAATTTGAAGCTGATATTTTTATTCTCATGAAAAAAAGTCAGTAAAATTCAATTTAGCAATGAGTATATAGAGATTGTAGGTTTTTATTAGGTGTGTCTAGGTTTTAATATTGATTATTGATTGATGTTTATCAGATTATAACATAGTTATACTTTAATATAATATTACTAGAACATTTCATTAGAAGATAAAACTTGTAAACTTTTATAAAAATCACTAGGCAATGCTGGGTGAGAGGGAGGAGGAGGGAGGAGGGGAGGAATTAACCTGTAGAGTGAGGTAAGGGTAGTTAGGGAGGGAATGATAGAGTAAAGCTGCAATACAAAATAACTATTCTCACAGCATTTTATTATGAAATAAAACATATAAGTTTTTATGAATTTAACAAGGCTATTCTGGAGAGTGGAGGGGGCGGGGATATTACCTTAGAGTAATTAAAGTTGAGTGTATAACATCAATCGAACATCATTCTTATGAGCTTACATGCTCTTTTTATACAGATTACAAGGGGGTGGGGCTGGAGAGTCAGAGGGTGGGAGGGGGATAGATTACTTTTTATAGAGGTTGATTGACTTTACTACGGGTACACGAGACAAAATGTAACTTTGACATATAATTCATTGTGAAATTTGATATTTGGTAATCAAAATGATAAATTCCTAGTCAAGATAATCAATTGAATCATTTTATCCAACCCTAAATAAACGGCCTGTAACAGAAGTAATTACATGTATAGGACAATCTTTTTTAATTCTACAACATGACATTCATTAGTAACAAGCTGTGTAATGTATTATTGATTTTTTGAATCGCAATATACAGGCAACATAACATTGTGATAAAATCTAATTAAGTTATGTTTACAGTCATCTAGAAATAGATAATTTGTTCATCTATCACATTAAAATGACACATTTCTATTGTTGTTTTTTTTTTAATTTCAATTCAACAGTTGGTAGTTGCAATTTGAAATATTTTTTAAAACTGAATGTTAATTTAAGTTGACATGGGCTATTTTTGTTTTGATCATTGAATAATTATTCTCTTTGAAGAACAAAGCGTGATGTTACAATACAAAACAAAAACCTGTTTAATTGTGTTCAACAGGAGATAGGAATTCATGAGCACTTTGTAATATATATCGCCTCATTATAGGTTAATGGAATTTCTCTGATAGCTTCCTAGCACCTAGAGATTAGAATTGATAGGCACATACCTGAAGAAAAACATTAAAAAACTTGAAGTGATTGTTGTTTCATGAAGCTGTATCTATATATATCACACTTAATTAATTACTTACTTAATTCCATTTAAAGATGGGTTTCCTTATTTTTTAGTGTCAAATTAAGCAAACTATTTGATTAATTGGTGTTTCTAATGAATTATCATGTATTCTTAATCATATCATTATTTTCTTATTGCATATAATTAAAGATGGGTTTCGTTATTTTTTAGTGTCAAATTAAGTAAACTATTTGATTAATAGTGTTTCTAATGAATTATCATGTATTCTTAATCATATCATTATGTTCTTATTGCATATAATTAAAGATGGGTTTCCTTATTTTTTAGTGTCAAATTAAGTAAACTATTTGATTAATTGGTGTTTCTAATGAATTATCATGTATTCTTAATCATATCATTATGTTCTTATTGCATATAATTAAGAGTTTTAACCAATCATAAATGTCCATGTACGTACAGTCTGGATGAACAAAAAGGACTTTTTGAACTTTCTTGATCGGTCACTGGTAATTCTCTTCTAATTTAGCTAATTATGAATTAATTATGCACATGTGAGACAAACAGGTACTTTTCCAAGTCATTAGAACACCTCTACTTTCTATTCATATAAGTATTAGCATTTTCATTTTCATAAATGAAATAAGGGAACCCATCTTTAATGCCATTATTGGCAACCCATCATGTTTTAATTCAAGTTTTTTGTTGTTTTTTTTTCAGTCCAGCAGAATTACAGTTCTATACATCACTAGCCTCTATGGGTATCCAAATTCCATTTCTACTGATTATGATGGATACAACCAGTGTTCGTAATAATATGGATTATACGTTATTTTTTACCTATATTATTAATGGTATATTTTTTCATTTTCAAAGTATTACAGCTTATGTTTTAATGAGCTATATATCACCTGTTACTCATAGGTAAGTCAGTTTTATATTCTACAGGTGCGGGCACACGAGCAGTCTTGGTCAGAGACTTTTGTCGCCGATTAGAATCTTGTTTTGGGTTTCAACAACTGGCACGGGAACATGAGGCGACAAAATCTCCAGTCAGTCATTTTCCACCTGGTCGATAATTACGTGCAGAGCATGCTAATGAAAGGAAAAAGAATCTGATTGGATGACGACTTTCTGTCATGCAGACGATAAAACTGTCGGAAACAAGTATCAAACTTGTTTGATATTATAGATCCTGTCAGCTAGACGATAATCTTGTTGTGAGAGTGCGGGCACATGCAAATTTTACTCAAGATTCGACAAAACTCTCCGACCAAGACCACTTGTGTGCCCGCACCTTTACTAGTCCAGACTGAATATAGTGTACCAGCAACACCCCTCAATTTTTTGAACTTTTCCATACATTCATATTTTCAATCAATATGGAACTGTATATCTATAATTGGAAGAGCTCATTTGTAAAATCAGGGGTGTTTTTCAGTGTTTCTAGTTTCACATGGCACCTGATTGGTGAGTTCCCAAGTTCTTTGAAAAAAAATAGGTGTAGACAAAATGGTGGAGTAGAAGAGTAAATTCTTATGACCTATCCAGTTCCTTTAGCATTTTATAAATACATGAGGTTTTCTAAACTTGTTTTTTTTTTGGAATACGCTGATAGCATCAATTTGCATCATTTGACTTTTCAATCAGACTTCTGTGAGTCTAAAACAAGAAGGGGTTCATGATTCGCCTCTTGCAAAAACTGCAAATAGAAACCATAAATAATCTAGAAAACCTCTTAATAACCCCTTTAAATATTACAAGTTTAAATCCAATTTTTTGTATCATTTTGTATGAATCTATTTCAGTGTTGCTAACACAGTCAAAAGAGCGTTTTTAATCTGGCTATCTGTGATTTTATTTGGAAATCCGGTCACGTTTTTAAGTGGAATTGGTACAGTGACTGTAACTATTGGTGTTTTATTATATACTAAAGCGAAGGAATACGATCACATACGTTATGAATTACGTCAACAATATTCCCTAGAACAGAACTCGGATACGAAGATAGTGTGATGATTTCTATTTTTAGATGTTGCCAATCATTGTAATAATTTATACACTGTTACTCTGTCTTCACTGTGCAGAAGTTAGAAGTAAAACTCTATTGAATTTCATTCTTTCCGAGCATGAAGAAACGAAGAAAGGAAAGCTCCATTTTGTTTTGTTTTTTCTTCTGAAGCGAAAAAGGTGAAGAAAAGACGAAGGAAAACTTCATTTCAATTCATGTCTTTCTTTTCAAGCGTGAAAAAAGTGCATTTCAATTTATTTTCATAGTGAAATTTCCTGTCTTATTCAGCCTTATATTGTTCATTTCATTTTATATTCATATTAGGCTGTTGTGTTTCTTTGTCTTCAGAAGCTGATGGAAATAAGACAGAAAGTTTAGGACTAAAGTTGAGGTAACACCAGTATGTAGGTGCAATAACACTTACTAATTTTCACATAATTAATAGACTTATCTATTGCTCTGTGACCTAGGCCCGTGCTTTCATTGAGACTCGTCTCAATACACCCTAAAACTAAAGCCATTTGTGTTGGGATGGTTAAATTGGATTTGGTTGATTTTGTGATTCTGAAATGAGGGACAGAGATATCAAAAAATAGTCAATTTAAGATAAGTGATATAATCATGCATAGGTTTTTCTGAAATTTAACTAAAATGTATGTATTAATACGTAATATGTGTGGAAAGTGTTTTATCAAGATGAATTTTAAGCCTGCCGTGTTGGGGACAAGTCAGACATCTTTTTCTAATAATAAGGAATTTACTACAGCTTGTGTTTGTTAATACTGGTACCAAGTAATATTTGTGGGATGGTGTTTAACGAGAATTGACAAGTTTTGTGCCATAAACAGAGATGGATTACGTGGAGACATTTTTATGTGGTGATGCTCAACTGGTAATGTCCAAAGGGAGGTAATTTGTGGGAAAGTTATAATTTATTTGGGGATATTTGTAATGTTTTGTGGAAAACATCGGATTGAGTGCAAATAATAGATAAGAAATATTAAAGAAAACTTATTATTTATTGTAAGCTACCAGTATTTGTAATGTGTTTTGTGGATAACACAGAGTTAGAGGATAGAAATATTGATCTAAACTGGAATCAGGAAATATTTTCAGTGAAATGTATGTTCCCTACAAGAACCACTCTGTGAAATGATGTGGAATTGTAAAAAGTATTTTCTCTTCTCTATACTCTATTGCTGTCCTGCCTGCGTAGTATTCTCAAAAAGATCTTAGTGCTAGGATATCCTAGGGTCTTAACTTCTAACACTGTTTCTAGAATATCCTAGGTTCTTATCTTCTATCACTGTTTCTAGAATATCCTAGGTTCTTATCTTCTAACATTGATTCTAGGATATTCTAGGGTCTTAACTTCTAACACTGTTTCTAGGATATCCTAGGGTCTTAACTTCTAACATTGATTCTTGGATATCCTAGCGTTAAGATTGTTTCAAGAATACATTGCCTGATAAGAATTTTACGTCTGCATTAGGATCTTGAGTTTTCTTGCTTTTTTCAGCCTATTTTTGATTATTATTTTTTAGAGAACTCTATGAGCTTTTTCCTTAACTAAAGGTGAAAATAGCTTAAGTGTCTACTGAAATCAGATTTACAATTTCGTTTTATTTGTCGATCTCCATTGTAATCTAACAAGACTTATACCAAAGTCGTGTTCATTTCAACAAATCACAGCACGTCATGCAGAATCTGCCTCTGTAGAGCGATATGACCAATGAGATTAATAGACTGCAGATACTAGCTTGTAAATGCGATTCTGATTGGCTGGAAAGTGATGCGTAATTGTCTGCTATAAATAGATTAAAACATCACCAGTATGTGACCTTCGTATAAATCTCGTTAGATCACAATGGAGACTGACAAAAAAAAAATAATAAAACGAAATTGTTATCTTATTTTAATGAGATTGAGTGTCTGGTGAAGAGTACCATGTGGTATTGTCAATAAAATTATAATTAGAAATAGGAAGATTTGGAAATAGGAAATAGAAAAAATAGGAAATAGAAAAGAATAGGAAATAAGAAAGAATTGGAAATAGAAAAGAATTGGAAATAGAAAAGAATCGGAAATAGAAAAGAATTGGAAATAGAAAAAGCCAACAGGATGCTGACGCCATGTTTTCCATTGGAGCGATAACTCCACACCATATAATATACCTCTACAGGGCTTAATGTAGATGTCTACAGGGTTTTCATAGAAAATGTCCATGTTCAGATTAATAAGGGGACATAATTCTTGTTCATTAATATCATCTTTCGCCATTGGTCATTTAAAACTATTTTATTATTCAGACATGGTCCAGTTTTTCTTAAACCTTCATATTGATATGATATAAGTGGTTTTTAACATGCAAATATCAACTCAGACTTGTGAATCAGGGCTATTATTATTCATCTATCACTATTTCAAATAAATTCTATTTTATTATTGTTGTGTATATAGGGGAGATAATGTTTATGTCAAAATAAAATTACATTTTTAATAACCTCTTTTGTTTTTATCTTTTTACAATTAGCCCAGTCTATTTCAACCCTCTTAATAATTTGATATAGGGCATTGATTGGGATACAACAATACGATTGGCTTGTACGATACGATTTGGGAAACTCTGATGACTAATGGTTCGTTCACAACAGGCAGAGCTATGCGGCAATGAGGACAGACGTTCACATAGCGACCTAAAATTAAACATTCACTATGGAGGATTTTGTGTGCATGTTTCTTTTGTTTGACAGCCATGCTTATTGAATGGAAGACAACAACTGAAAAATATACTCTGTTCTTCCAGCGCTGGTGTAAACAGCTGAGCGTCTACTCGTCTGTACATTGAAATCTCACTAAACACTAACTGCTGTTCTCTCTATCCCACATTGCTTAGCCTGTTCGTAGTGTGAACAGGCCCTAAGTCCTGCTATGTTGCTATCCAAACCTTCAATCTAGCTGATGAGCACTCTACAAACTAGTTTCAAATCAATTTCATAACATCTTCTCACATAAAGGTGGGTGAGGGCCCTTAGACCTAAGTGAGTGAGGGCCCATGGACTGAAATGAGTGGGGGCCCTTGGATGTAAGTGGATGAGGGCCATTCGTCCTAAGTGAGTGAGGGCATTGAATCTAAGTGAGTGAGGGCCCTTGGAGCTAAGTGAGTGGGGGCCCTTGGATGTAAGTGGATGAGGGCTATTCGCCCTAAGTGAGTGAGGGCCTTGGATCTAAGTTGGTTGGGCCCTTGGACCTAACTGAGTGAGGGCCTTTGGAGCTAAGTGAGTGAGGGCCCTTGGATATAAGTGGGTGAGGGCCCTTGGAACTAAGTGGGTGAGGGCCCTTGGAACTAAGTGAGTGAGGGCTTTGGACCCAAGTGAGTGAGGGCGGCTTGGACTTAAGTGAATGCGGGCCCTTGGATCTAATTGAGTGAGGGCCGTTGGACCTAAGTAGGTAAGGGCCCTTGGACTTAAGTGAGTAAGGGCCCTTGAATCTAAGTGGGTGAGGGCCCTTGGACCTAACTGAGTGGGGGCCCGTGGACGTAAATGAATCAGGGCCGATGGACCTAAGTGGATAAGGGCTTTGGATCTAAGTGAGTGAGGGCGCCTTGGTCTTAAGTGAGTGTGGGCCCTTGGATCTAATTGAGTGAGGGCCGTTGGACCTAAGTGGGTAAGAGCCGTTGGAACTAAGTGAATGAGGGCCGTTGGACCTAAGTGGGTAAGGGCCCTTAGATCTAAGTATGTGAGGGCCCTTGGATCTAAGTGGGTTATAGCGGTTGAACCTAAATGAGTGAGGGCCCTTGGATCTTAGTGGGTGATAGCGGTTGAACCTAGATGTGTGAGGGTCCTTGGATATAAGTGAGTGAGGGCCTGTGGACCTACGTAGGTAAGGGCCTTTAGACTTAAGTAAGTAAGAGCCCTTTGATGTAAGTGGATGAGGGCTATTCGTCCTAAGTGAGTGAGGGCCTTAGATCTAAGTGGGTGGGGCCCTTGGACCTAACTGAGTGAGGGCCCTTGGACCGAAGTGAGTGAGGGCCTTTGGATCTAAGTGAGTGGGGGCCTTTGGACCTAAATGAATGAGGGCCGTTGGATCTAAGTGAATGAGGTCCTAAGTGAAAGGGCCGTTGTACTTAAATGGGTAAGGGCCCTTGGACCTAAGTGAGTGAGGGCCCTTGGACCTAAGTATTTGAGGGCCCTTGGATCTAAGTGGGCGAGGGCCCTTGAACCTAACTGAGTGAGGGCCTTTGGATCTAAGTGAGTGAGGGCCTTTGGATCTAAGTGAGTGAGGGCCCTTGGATCTTAGTGGGTGAGGGCCCATGGACCTAAATCAGTGAGAGCCCTTGGATCTAAGTGGGTATGGGCCCATGGATCTAAGTGGGTACGGGCCCTTGGATCTAAGTGGATAAGGGCATTGGATCTAAGTGAGTGAGGGCCCTTGCACCTAAGTTGGTAAGGGCCCTTGGACTTAAGTGAGTAAGGGCCCTTGAATTTAAGTGGGTGAGAGCCCTTGGACCTAAGTGAGTGAGGGTCCTTGAATCTAAGTGAATGAGGGCCTTTGGACCTTCGTTGGTAAGGGCCCTTGGACCTAACTGAGTGAGGGCCCTTGGACCGAAGTGAGTGAGGGCCTTTGGATCTAAGTCAGTGGGGGCCTTTGGACCTAAATGAATGAGGGCCGTTGGATCTAAGTGAATGAGATCCTAAGTGAAAGGGCCGTCGGACTTAAATAAATAAGGGCCCTTGGATCTAAGTATGTGAGGGCCCTTGGATCTAAGTAAGTGAGGGCCCTTGGATCTAAGTAAGTGAGGGCCCTTGGATCTAATTGGGCGAGGGCCCTTGAGGCTAACTGAGTGAGGGCCTTTGGATCTAAGTGAGTGAGGGCCCTTGAATCTTAGTGGATGAGGGCCCATGGACCTAAATGAGTGAGGGCCTTTGGATCTAAGTGGGTATGGGCCCTTGGATCGAAACGGATAAAGGCCCTTGGAACTAAGTAAGCGAGGGCCCTTGGATATAAGTGACTGAGGGCCCTTGGATCTTAGTGGGTGAGAGCCCATGGACCTAAATGAGTGAGGGCCCTTGGATCTAAGTTGGTGATTGTCCATGCACCTAAGTGGTTAAGGGCCCTTGGACTAAGGTGAGTAGGGGCCTTTGAATTTAAGTGGGTGAAGGCCCATGGACCTAAGTGGGTGAGGACCCTTAGACCTAGGTGAGTGGGGGCCATCAATCATTTAGCTCTCACTTATTTAAGACCACTGGCCCCCACTCACCTAGCCCTTGGATCTAATTGAGTGAGGGCGGTTGAACCAAGATGTGTGTGGGTAAGGGCCCTTAGACTTAAGTAAGTGAGGGCCCTTGGATCTAAGTGAGTTAGGGCCCGTTGAACCTAAGTGAGTGATGGCCCTTGGATTTAGGTGAGTGAGGACCAGTGGTCTTAAGTAAGTGAGGGCCCTTGGATCTAATTGAGTGAGGGCGGTTGATCCTAGATCTGCGTAGGACCTTGGATCTAAGTGTGTGAGGGCTCTTGGACCTAATTGAGCGAGGGCCCTTGGAACTAAGTGGGTGAGAGCCCATGGACCTAAATGAGTGAGGGCCTTTGGACCTATGTGGGTAGGGCCCTTAGACTTAATTGAGCGAGGGCCCTTAGAACAAAGTAAGTGAGGGCACCTTGGATGGGTGAGTGCCTTTGGATCTAAGTGACTGAGGGCCCTTGGATCTAAGTGGGTGAGAGCCTATGGACCTAAATGAGTGAGGGCCCTTGGAACTAAGTGGGTAAGGGCCCTTGGACTGAAGTGAGTGGGGGCCTTTGAATCTAAATGGGTGAGGGCCCATGCACCTATGTGGGTAAGGGCCCTTGGACTGAAGTGAGTAGGGGCCTTTAAATCTAAGTGGGTGAGGGCCCATGGACCTAAGTGAGTGAGGGCCCTTAGACCTAAGTGAGTGGTGGCCCTTGGGCCTAAGTGAGTAGGGGCCCTTGGATCTAGGTGAGTGAGGGCCAGTGGTCTTAAGTAAGTGAGGGCCCTTGGATCTGATTGAGTGAGGGCGGTTGAACCTAAATGTGTGAAGGTTCTTGGATCTAAGTTAGTGAGGGCTCTTGGACCTAATTGATCTAAATTGGATCTAAATGAGTGAGGGCCCGTTGGACGTAAGTGAGTGATGGCCCTTGGATCTAAGTGGGCGAGGGCCCTTGAACCTAACTGAGTGAGGGCCTTTGGATCCAAGTGAGTGAGGGCCCTTGGATCTTAGTGGGTGAGGGCCTTTGGATCTAAGTGACTGAGGCCTCTTGGATCCTAGTGGGTGAGAGCCCATTGACCTAAATGAGGGCCTTTGGATCTAACTGAGTGAGGGCCTTTGCATCTAAGTGAGTGAGGGCCCTTGGATCTAAGTGGGCGAGGGCCCTTGAACCTAACTGAGTGAGGGCCTTTGGATCCAAGTGAGTGAGGGCCCTTGGATCTTAGTGGGTGAGGGCCTTTGGATCTAAGTGACTGAGGCCTCTTGGATCCTAGTGGGTGAGAGCCCATTGACCTAAATGAGGGCCTTTGGATCTAACTGAGTGAGGACCTTTGCATCTAAGTGAGTGAGGGCCCTTGGATCTAAGTGGGCGAGGGCCCTTGAACCTAACTGAGTGAGGGCCTTTGGATCCAAGTGAGTGAGGGCCCTTGGATCTTAGTGGGTGAGGGCCTTTGGATCTAAGTGACTGAGGCCTCTTGGATCTGATTGAGTGAGGGCCCATTGACCTAAATGAGTGAGGGCCCGTGGATCTAAGTGGTTATGGGCCCTTGGATCTAAGTGGGTATGGGCCCTTGGAACTAAATGAGTGAGGGTCCTTGGATCTAAGTGAGTGAGGGCCCTTGGATCTAAGTGGGTAAGGACCTTGGACTTATGTGAGTAAGGGCCCTTGAATCTAAGTGGGAGAGGGCCCTTGGACCTAAGTGAGTGAGGGCCTTTGGATCTAATTGAGTGGGGGCGGTTGAACCTAGATGTGTGTGGGTAAGGGCCCTTAGACTTAAGTAAGTGAGGGCCCTTGGATCTAAGTGGTTATGGGCCCTTGGATCTAAGTGGGTATGGGCCCTTGGAGGTAAGTTGATGAGGGCCATTCGTCCTAAGTGAGTGAGGGCCTTGGATCTAAGTGGGTGGGGCCCTTGGACCTAACTGAGTGAGGGCCCTTGGTTGTAGGTAAGAGACCTAAGTGAGTGATGACCCTTGGATCTCGGTGAGTGAGGGCCAGTGGTCTTATGTAAGTAAGGGCCCTTGGACCTAGTTGGGTGATGGCCCTTGGATCTAAATGGGTGAGGGCCCTTGGATCTAAGTGGTGGGGGTCCTTGGACCTAAGTCAATGAGGGCCTTTAGATCTAAGTGGGTGAGGTCCGTTGGACCTAGTTTTGTGATGGCCCTTGGATCTAAGTGGGTGAGGGCCCTTGGATCTAAGTGGTGGAGGCCCTCTGACCTAACTGAGTGAGGGCCTTTGGACCTAAGTCAATGAGGGCCTTTAGATCTAAGTGGATGAGGTCCTTTGGACCTAGTTGTGTGATGGCCCTTGGATCTAAGTGGGTGAGGGCCCTTGGATCTAAGTGTGGAGGCCCTTGAACCTAACTGAGTGAGGGCCTTTGGACCTAAGTCAATGAGGGCCTTTAGATCTAAGTGGGTGAGGTCCTTGGATCTAAGTGGGTGAGGGCCCTTGGATCTAAGTGGCTGGGGGCCCTTGGAACTAACTGAGTGGAGGCCCTTGGATCTAATTGAGTGAGGGCCGTTGGACCTAAGTGGATGAGGGCCCTTGGACCTACGTCAATGAGGGCCTTCAGATCTAAGTGGGTGATTTCCGTTGGACCTAGTTAGGTAGGGCCCTTGGAAATAAATGAGGGCCCTTGCACCTTAGTGAGTGAGGGCTCTTGGATCTATGTGGGTGAGGTCAGTTGACCTCAGTGAGTGAGGGCCCTTGGATCTAAGTTGGTGAGGGCCCTTGAACCTAAGTGGGTGAGGGCCCTTGGAAATAAGTGAGTGGGGGCCTTTGGATCTAAGTGATTGAGGGCCCTTGGATCTAAGTGATTGGGGGCCCTTGGATCTTAGTGGGTGAGGGCCTTTGGATCTTAGTTGACCTTAGTAAGAACCTTAGACCTAAATGAGTGTGGGCCCTTGGAGCTAAATCAGTGAGGGCCCTTGGATCTAAGTGAGTGAGGCACCTTGGACATAAATGAGTGATGGCCCTCGGAGCTAAATGAGTGAGGGCCCTTGGATTTAAGTGTCTGAGGGCCTGTGGATCTAAGTTAGTAAGGGCCTTTGGATCTAAGTGAGGGCCCCATTTCCACTCAGACCCCACCCACAACTGTTACTACCACTGCATGGCCCCCTTCCCCACTTCCACACAGACCCCACCCACAACTGTTACTACCACTGCATGAACCCCTTCCCCACTTCTAAACAGACCCCACCCACAACTGTTACTACCACTGCATGAACCCCTTCCCCACTTCTAAACAGACCCCACCCACAACTGTTACTACCACTGCATGGCCCCCTATTTATAGAGAAAAGAGAAGAAAATGTATAAATAGCTTTATTTTAACTCCCAATGCTATGATAGAAAGGAACTATAATATATCAAGAGATATTGTGTTATATAAAAATAGGGTAGAGATGGTAATATCAGTCAACATAACTAGAATATAATACTTTAAATAATAGAAGTCAATTTATGGTTTATTACTCCTAGGTTTTATTTAACTCATGTCTCAACCGTATACAATGTCATCATTTTTTCACCTGAGTAATAAAATCTAGGAGTAGCATTCTATTATTTAAAGTGATCTCTACCTCTAAATGTTGCTAAAGAATTAGAATACAATAAATTTAATTTTAATGCATTATTAACCTATATAAAGTTGCTTAAAGACTGAAAGAAATTATTGGTATTTTGATCAGAATAATAGAACAAAAGTATTTGTCATCTACATCGAAATCAATTCATTAACACCAGAAGTCTAATATATTTTGAGTAGAATAAATTAGGAAATTGTACGAGCCAAACATTTTCAAAACACCTGATGGAACTTCTCTTTGGAGGAGTTCACAACTATACTACCTTTACTCCCGATTTCGCCACTCTTTGGACGAGGTTTTTGATGGTCGGCATTGTCTTGTTTGTATGGATTTTTATTATATAAACTACTTCAAAATAAAGTGGACTTCTAGTACACAGATGCGGTGGCTCAGTGAGTAGACGCTTGCTCGCTAACCTGAAGGTCCAGGGTTCAATCCCAGCATAGCTCGAGATAATACCTTTGGATTTTTCAACCCGGTTTCCCCCTGTCAGTGATGCAGGTATGAGGGGCTGACATGGAAAAAGTGTCTAGTCGTTCGGATGGGACAATAAACCGAGGCCCCGTATGCTACAGGCTGTGCACGTTAAAGATCCCTTGACAGTTGGAAATCGAAAAAGAGCAGGCTAATGCCGCTGTCCTGGCAAAATTTCCCTCATTGCACCCTGCATGGCGTTGCCTGTCTTCATTAGCCCACATGGTGCAGAAAAGTAGGACGTAAAACTCCATTCATTTCATTTCATTCTAGTACACAGATGCACAAAATATCGTGATTTACTTTAACTTTAAGGAAGTTTACTACAAACTGTAACAAAACTACAAAATATTAATAAACATATTTACAAACTATAAATTCAATCTATTATCTTAGAACTTCGAAAGGTAACTCAAAATTTACCAATTATTTTTATGTGAATTTGGAAATTTATCAGCTTCTATATAGCTCTGATAGTATAAAGGTTCTATTGACAATATGCTATGAATTCAATTCACATCACAGTTTCATGAGAGTTGTGTTTGAAATTTATAACTAGTACTCTTGTTCACAACTGGTGATCGCTATGATGTGAGGGCCACTTAAAGATGGGTTCCCTTATTTTCATTTATGAATGCTTATATGAATAGAAAGTAGAGGTGTTCTAATGACTTGGAAAAATACCAGTTTATCTCACATGTCCATAATTAATTCATAATTAGCTAAATTAGAAGATAATTACCAGCAAAATTCCAATGAGTGACCAATCAAGAAAGGTCAAAGAGTCTTTTTTTGTTTATCATGACTGTACATACATGGACATTTATAAACAAGCTGATATTCTAATACACATTAAAATAATAGATAAATTGATATCCCAAGAAATCTTAGAAGAGTAGACTCATAAAGGTAAATAATTATATTAAAGATATGATATAGTACCTGTGTTAATTAAGGTGAAAAATGGGGGTGAGGGAGGGGAGGGGATTTGGAGGGAAAGTTAATAAGGCAATTCTTAACTAAACCAAACTGGAATGTAAACTATAAGCATCGGTAAAAATGTTTCTATGGAAACAAAATTTCAAAAAACATGATTGGATGTTAAAATAACATAATGGAAGGACTGTTCATGATTTTATTGGAAGATTTTTGATTAATTTGGTTTGATTTTGGAGAAATTTCCCCATCAACATCAGAGATAATATACTAGTCCCCTATTAGTAACTGGTGAATAACATAATGGTATGGTGATTTAAGTGATAAAAATTCATTAATAAAGTTGGCTAAATGAGATTTTCAGATTATAGATTATATTTTAACAGAATTTTAAATCCTACTTGCGGACAGCAAATTTATTTAATATTATGCCATGTGCAAGCATAGAAAACTGAAGGTCAAGGCCATAGGGTGATCAAGGCAAATTCCTCATTTTTAAAACAATGCTCGAACTATAGTAGAGTCTTTTATTTCAATTATGTATTTCAAATCGTCCCTTTGCCTCATTTTAACTTAGCTTCGCTTGAAGATTATCCAACACAAACTTTAACAATTTCAAACCTCTAATATCAGTGGCTTACAGAAGAACTGTTCAACATTACAAATTTAACATAAACAATACTAATATCAATCAAGTTTGGGAGATCAGTCGTAACTTTGTATGAGAGTATTTGGACATAAGAGTGACCAGCACTATAAACTTCAGGAATAACAAGAAATCCAAATCTAGAGTATTTTTGTTTATTTTTTGTTCTTGTGTGAAATTAAATTTTCAGCAGAAGTGAGTGATTTATATACAACAAAGTTTGAAACAATTAGCACCATTATTTTGATTATGTCAGCACTTGCAGTCTAGCTTATCATTTTAACACCGTACTTAACTCAAGTCTGCAACTCTCGCGGCAAAGTTCATTTTTGGCATAAAAGCAAAAAAAGATTGTAAATATGTAGTAATGTTTAAAAAACAATAACTGATAACATTCTGTGAGTATCAGTTGCTTTAAGAGTTATCTTTCTTTCTTAGCAGATATCAGTTAAGTTTTGGCTTAAAAGGTGACAAATTTTTTCCAAGTGAAAATGAGTCCTACTGTTTGAAAACCAATTCCTGATAGACCTTGATTAGTAACAGTTGAAGAGTTATCTTTCTTTCCTAGCAGATGGCGCTTTCAGTAGTCCTTTAGTTTTGATGAGTTCGTCATCTAAAGGATTAGTTCTATTAGCTGTTTGAACTTGACGCTCTTCTTCCACGTTCTGTATTGCATCAACCCTGAAAAAATATATATAAATATATAAATACCATTCAACTTCCTGTCTTGAAGCTTTAAGATAGCCTGCCAGACAATACAACATACACCCACTGTCAGTTTTACTTTCTATAAAACTAGGATAAACCAAAGTTTCTGTCGAACAGGGTAACTTCAAACTTCGAACTTTATTTAGGAAATTTTAGGGCCGTAATAGATGACTTCTGGACAAATATTACAAAGGTTCGGGAGGGGTTACCTGAAGTGCCGGAGCCCCTTGAAGCTTGAATACTGTCAACACCTGTAGCCTCTATTGTATTCACAAGCCTAAATTCCAACAGACAGACAGATGGACAGACAGACAGACAGACAAATAGACAGACAGACAAATAGACAGACAGACAGACAGATAGACAGACAAATAGACAGACAGACAGATGGACAGACAGATAGACAGACAAATAGACAGACAGATGGACAGACAGACAGACAGACAGACAGACAGATGGACAAATAGACAGACAGACAGATGGACAAATAGACAGACAGACAGATGGACAGACAGATAGACAGGTAGACAGGGGCAAAGACAGTACAATCTCTCATAATTACAGCAAGTATGACTTTAGTAAAAAATCTATGAAGACAAATGAAACCAAAAAGAATATTTAAAAGGTATTTTTCTGCAAGCCCAATGTGAAGATAAAGGTATTAAAATGAAAGTGCAGTGGGGTTAAAAATGATTAAAGAAGAAGTCAACATTGGATATTTGATGGTAATCAATGGGACTAGTAATGACTTTCCTATCAAGGCTGGATCTCGTACAAAAAACACTGGACAAGTCGGTTTCACTAAAAATATTTTTCATCATTGTTAAAACTAAGTAAACAGGTACTCGCTTCAGACCTAGGCCGGTACTTTCTATGAGTTAAATTCTCATTTCACCTCAACCTCTTATCAGAAGTAAACACTATCATATTAAATATATGAATGTCTTATTCTCTGAGCTTCCTGGACAGTACTGGACACCCAAATTAGAAATAAAGTTTGAAACTATCCTGACCCATGCTGAGGTGTAAAAATGCCAGACTCTGAGGATAGTGAATAAGTGACTCATAAAACATTGTCTCTTGTTCAATACTAAAATCAAAATATTCAAACAGGTTGTTGTTACTCAGAGTTTCACATTACTCACAAGTTTCTTCAGACAACTAAAACAGAACCTGAAACATGTTACTCAGAGTTTCACATTACTCACAAGTTTCTTCAGACAACTAAAACAGAACCTGAAACATGTTGTTACTCAGAGTTTCACATTACTCACAAGTTTCTTCAGACAACTTAAACAGAACCTGAAACATGTTGTTACTCAGAGTTTCACATTACTCACAAGTTTCTTCAGACAACTAAAACAGAACCTGAAACATGTTGTTACTCAGAGTTTCACATTACTCACAAGTTTCTTCTGACAACTAAAACAGAACCTGAAACATGTTGTTACTCAGAGTTTCACGCTGTGCAATCTTCTGACAACTAAAACAGAACCTGAAA